TAACATATATAATTTATATATGTAGTTTATACATAAAAATTAATGGATACCAGACTCTCGGCTCTCAGTTCTCATGGTTTTTAAAGTTGAGTTAATGTTGATTAATAGAAGAGAAGAGATTGAAAAATAAAATAATTTGAATTGAGGCAGGCAAGTTCGTATTCTGCCATTACTTTGTGCGTATGCTGCTACAATGTACATGGCAAAGGCATAAGGTTATCACACACAGAACTTGGGCACAACAGCAGTTGTTCGTCTAACCCCTTTGCTCTCTCTAGGAGAATTCAAACTCTAATATTTAGGCCTAGATCCATCTTACTTGCATTCATTTTGCCAGTTCCTTTCTGGAAGGAATCTGATCTGAACTGCTCACGTGGATTTCCTCTTTAGTCAGGGGCAGGATAAAGATACTTTCAGATCTTTCAGGTCCTGGTTTCATCATTTATCTTGAGGATGAAACACTTGCTAAAAGTGGCCTGTCTTCCCTTCTGCACTGAGAGTACAGGGGTCCTGAAACAGCTGCCACGCAGCAGGTAAAGCAGAAGCACAAATTCCCCTATAGAAGAGCAGTGATGAAATAGTATGTAGAGACTCAGTGCTGCCTCTGTTTAACACATCTTGGGGTTTTATTTTGCTATAGGTCCATGAAGGATTCTTGGAAAAATGGGCTTCTACCATAAATGTCAGTGCCAGCAGCAGTTCTTCTGAGAAGAGGAGCACTGATTTACGAATATACATGCTGTGTTTCCTGCCGTTCATGATCCTCCTGGTCTTTATTCGTAACCTTAAGAGCCTGTCCTTGCTTTCATTGCTTGCCAATCTGTCTATGGCTGTCAGCCTGGTGATCATCTACCAGTATATTGTTAGAGTGAGTATAAAATCTTTTTTTTTTCTTTTTCAGTGTGGCAAGATGCTTTTGTTGCATGTGGCAGTTGATCTCTTATAGGTATCTACTGACAGACAACTTTTGAAAGGCAGAATTATCTTGTATTTAATTGAAGCATCTTAATTTAAGAAGGTGCCTTAATACTTGAGATGTGCTTAAAGACAGACCTTTACAGTACTTTCGAAAGGATAATATTGCTGCACTTAGGTTAACAATAGTATGTATTGTAACGACTCAAGAGTCCTTGAATAGAAGAGCGTGTGAAATTTTTCTGGGTTGCACACAGAACTTGTGAGGTTTTAATCTGTGATCAATTTTTTTTTTTGTTACAACTGAACAGTTACAACTGCAACGTTTATTTTTAGTGTTTCTCCAGTATAATCAGAAAAATTTAAGACTTACTGTTTAAGAATACATATTGCAAACTTCTGTCTCCTGAGAAGTTGAATAGTTGCTGCTTTTTCTGGGTTGCTGCTGTTTTTCATATTTGGAGGTATTTCATAATGGAACAATTAAACTAATGGTTAAAAAAAAATTATGTCTAGAAACCTCTACATTTTTCTTTCTTATGGTTTTTGAAAAGTGATAAGTGATAGACACTGTTGCACACATGGTGTAGGTAAGTGGTGAGTGCCACTATTGTTGGAGAGCTTTCACATGAGCGTTACGAAACGAGTGGGAGGAGGAGGATGGGGGGAAGAGAGAAAAGCCAGTGAGAGGTATGGGCGGGGCGAGGAGGCAGGAGAAGTTACATAAAGAGATTAGGGGAGGTAGAGAGTAATTAATTGTTCTGCAGGAATTCAGCTTATATTAAGGGACAGTTAAAGACAATCTTTTTATGGTTATGAAGAATACCTGTGCAGCATGAAAGCAGATAAGAAAATGCAATACTCTGAGAATAGCAGAAGTTTGCAGAAGATTCAGCTTGACGTGTGAGCCTTCCTTTTTTTAATTGATGCTCGCTCACATACACCAGTGTATTTAAATGTGGAAATTTCTAGTGTCAGTAATATGAACCTAGAATAAGTGTATATGCAAGTGTCTGTGTGTGAGTGGGAAGATAGCTATAAATATGTATAAAGGGCTAAGTTTGGGAGGAAAACCAGGGATTGTAAATAGCAATGTGTGAACCACTATCAACATGTACTGAGTTTTCTTTTCTGTATCGTAATGCATCCATCAGAATCATAGGAAGAGCTAATGCACTTTACATAGAACTGTTTTGCTTTTCTATTTAGGATATAGTAGATCCTCAAAAACTGCCTCCTGTTGTTGGCTGGAAGAAATACTCACTATTTTTTGGGACAGCAATATTTGCTTTTGAAGGAATTGGTGTGGTAAGTGCTTTTTACTGACTCATCAAAATACCTGAATCTGTGCTAGATAATAGGATAGACAGTTTTACTCTGTTGTTTGGTTGTTTTTGTTGAAGCACTGATCTCCCATGTTGGTACAAAAAGTGTTAGTTTATTTTGTCAAATAAGGCAAAAATTGAGGACACAACATCCACATGAAATGAGTCTGATGAATACTAATTGCTACTTGGACACCTACCCCCTTCCTAAATTACAAGAATAGCTTTTGTTCCAAATAGATTGAGACAATAGTATATATAATACAATGCTATATGATAATGTAGTACTCAGCTAATAATATGATGATACTATAATTACAAAGATTTGGCAGCTCAGTTTTACATGATGAGTGTGTAAAAATAGAAGCGTATTCAGCATCCTCCTTTTCCTTTGGGATCACAGAGGACAAAGGGATTTTTTAGAAAAGTATCCTGCCTCAAAGTTGTCTTATAGATAAGGATTGTAGAAAAGTATAGAAACTTCACAACATGTTTTGATTCACTGCCTTCTGACAACAAACCTCGGTTATTCATTGTTTCATGAAAGATGTCAATTAAATATATTTATCACTCCAAAAATATGGGTTTTAATAGTGAATCTCTTTTATTCACATATTACTACTTCTGAGGGCTTTCTGATTGTGTCTCACACTAGCAAAGTTTGCAAGTTAGCATTGTTGTTCTGTGTAACATACTTTAAAAAATAGCCAGAGAGGCTTCTGGAAAAGGCAGATCCTAATGTCTTTAAACTGTTGGGAAGTTACTGTATACACTTTATTACTAATATAATTACATACTTCAGCAGGTGTTACCGTATGCTTAAAACTAAAAAACGAGCAACACCTCCACCTTCAGAAAAAAACCCAACCAACCAAACCCCAAAACAGCATGCAATTAATCTGAAAGGAGTTCATTGGCATAACAGAGGAGAGTTTTCAAATATCTGTTCTTTTCTGGAACTGTCAGAACTGAATTAAACCAGACTATTTCACCCTGCTGCTGTATTGTCACTGCCAGAAGAGCTGAATAGCAAAAACTTTTAACTCCTGTTATGTTACAGAAGTACGTTTTACCACACAGGATGTGTTGATCTAGTGACTGTGAATCTCCATTTCTCAAACTGTTCTCGCCCCTTTATCAAACTGTGAACTGAGCAATGCAGAGGTTTAGCTACCATATATCTGAGTGTATCTCAGCTGGAAGTTCTGTCACAGGAAACCAGCCATCTATCAGAGGTTTTTTGATGTTTACAGGTCTTGGGCTAAAAACCCATGCTCAGTGATTCTGATAACCTGGCTATACTAAGCTTCTTGCTTTTATATTGTCTAGTCTGTCTGGGACAGACAGACTGATCTGATATAGTCTGATACATATCCCAGTTGTCCGAGGATGTTACTCATGTACTGCAAAGCACATGGGTGTGTATTTGTAACCAGGAAATGCCAAATGAGAATCCTATGAGGAAGGAGTAAAAGGCCTACCATCCTAGTGGCAGTTTATTGAATTATAGGGAACTGATTTATGGTAGTTATTTTCTGGCACACTAGACCTCACATTAGACAGCTCCTTAAATTTATATCAGCAGTAGTAGCATTGGCTTCTGATGTAAACCTTTAAAGAGCTGCCCAGTGCATTGTGCTTTACTGAATTCCTTGTTGTTACTAATGACATCTTTAAGAACTCCAGGTGTTTTTTCCTTTTTATTCAAAGGCATATAATATAGGGTTCATTTGAATTGTACCTTTAAGACATAAAAATATAGCTCAATATTATTAGATATTAGTGTTACACGCTGCATGTATTTCTGTATAGGATGTCTTAATTTCTTACTTAATCATACTTTACTTGCTCTTCAAACCAAATGAGTGCATTTTAGTTTTTCCCTTTGTTACTGGTGTTTACAAAGTAACTAAATATTTGTGTTCATTATGGTTTTGATATACTTTGTGTGTGTGCATTACATAAGACCAGTTAAATAATGCGGCTACCTTTACAAATGAAAATTATAGTGAAAGTAAAAATCTAGAGCTCAATTTTTATTCGTTATATGTAAAATTGTATTAATATGTCTGTGCCTCTCGGGGATATTTTCAACATGCACAGCATAATTTTTGCTGTGCATTCTTATGCTGCAGTTGCATGCACCGTAGAGAAGATTTGAAGAAAAAGAAATTGTTTTACAGGTTTGAATATTCAGTACTAAATAAAGTTATTTAAGTGTGAAATAAAATAGATGAGTGAAGCAGAGACACGTTTCCACTTTAAAGAGTTAGTATTTCATACAATTCTTGGTGATTAACTGTTGACTAGTTACTATGGCTCAGTAAGTTTGAGTGAACAGTGATATTTATATATATACACACACATGTTGATGACCTCTTGCAAATGTGAATTGAAACACATTTCAGTTTCTTTTGAGATGTAAGCGAATGTGTTTCAGTTCACATTACAATGGATTAAGAATATTCAGATAGAATATTGCTCATTTGTGATAACCTGTTAACCTCTGTCTAAGTTCTATATCAATGTAGTTGAATAGTTCTGGTAAGGCAATGAAAGCGTGGCATTGAATTAGATTGGTTCCTTAGTCTGCTCTCTGACTGCATGCACTCAAAATGGATTTCCTTAATCTTCATCTTGATGTTAGAGACTTGAATTTAGATTTTTATTCAGGAATGTCTTGCAAAAAACACTTCTGTGAAACTATCTGAACATTACATTATAAACAGAAGCCTTAAGGTCTTAATTTTCTCAGAAAGGTTGATTATGGTTGATTCATTTTATGCAATAAGTTAGCCTAACACTTAGGAGGCCTCATTTTTCCTTTTCCTTGATTCCAAATGTTCTTTATGCTAATTCACACTGTACTCATCTGAGAGCTGCCAGATTATTGAATGTTATGAACAGAGACAGCAAATGAAATTCTGATTTTTTCTTTTTTTTTTTTTTTTTTTTAACTGGTTGAGTCATCTTAAGTAGAACCTGACAAGAGAGGAAAAATGCTCTTGGTGTGGCTTCTCTACCACCATCGTTTTCTGTAAAATGGTCGTTCCTGCTGGGAATATTTAGTGATCAAGAATTTGAGTAGCAGACTAAATGATCTATAACGTAGAGTATAAAACACTTCTTAACCGTAGTAGTCAGGATGATTTATTTTCAAAGATACTTAATTGATTTTGTTTTTATGAACAGGGGAGTGGCTACTGTAGACAGAAAGTAATTGGCAGTTCATAATGTTGTGCTCAGTATGGAAACATTGTTTTTTTTTTTTTTGTTTTTTTTTTTTAACCAAATAACTGTAAGGAAAATACTCTAGCACTGAGGGTTTTGTTTTTTTTTTTTGGTCATCCATTTGTTACAGAAAAGTTTTTATGTATTGATTTTTTTTCTTTTAATTCAGCACTTGTCTTCACTTGAAATCTCGTAATAGTTCTTCAGTAGCCCTATAAAAATGAGGATAATTAAACAGAGGAGTCTAAACTCCTGTTCACAGTGGGGAATGTGATTCAGGGAGTTGCAGTAATTCAGCAGATTCCTAGCAGGATTTTCGTCTTGATCTTGAGAGAGCATATTTGTCTTTTAGATGATGGATGTGCCAACACAGGTTTTTGTTAAAATCTGTCATTAGTTTAGGAGTGTTTAGGTGCCCCTGTGTAATAAGAAAATCAGCAGTATTTGAAGTGTCATTACTTTGGCTATAGTTGATCCCTAGATAAATAAACTTAAGAACCTTGATTCTAGTGACTTGTGTCTATAATAACTCAAAGGAGGAAGGGTAGCCTGTTTATAATTGATGTAAAGAATCTCCAACCAAGGCAGTGCCTAGAAAATAGTACCCACGTAATACTAAGAGCTAATGAAACATTTTGTTAGCTAGTGTAATAAAGCTCTTTTGAGATATTTTCATTAAAATAAAAAAAATTAGCATGATGAATTGAGCTGTTCATATCTGCCTGCGAGATCAGTCTAAACTCTCACTGGATGGCAGATTTGAACCATTTTGCTGTAGTTCAGACCAGCTGCTCATTTGTTGCTACAACTCCTACAGCAGAAGTAAGGTTAGTGCCATCAAAGCACTGATGAGTGTGAATGCATGCTAAACTCCGAGTGGTAACTGGATTAAAAAGTGCAGTACTCTGTTCCTTGTGCTGTTCATTTCTTTGCTCCCTGTTGGAGTTGTCTGTAAAATGGGGTCACTGCTGGTTGGTCTAAGGTATTTGCTGCAAAGTGTGAACGTCTTGGCAGCCAGGTGGTAAACATTGCTCTGTGCTAACAGAAGGAGTTGGCAGCAGGGGTACCCAGTAAGCCCTTACTATTGAGTTAGCAAACAGCAGCTGAGAGCTCAGTACTGCCAGTCTGCTGGTTCTCATTCACAGTCTTGAGAGTCAGTTTGGGATTTTGAGAATTGTAAGTTAAGATTTTAAGATGATCAGTGTGACCTTATGAAAATTGTATGGACTGGTGGCAACAATACTGTTTGTGGAACAGTAGAGCCACAGAAATGCAGTACTCTTAAGCAGATAGAGCAGACCATTTAAGATACTCAGGCTTGTTTTAATCTTTAAAGTGAAGACTGTGGTTCATAAGATGATAATATGCTGATTAGGCGATGGAGAAAATGCATTGTCAGCCCTCAGTGAACCTTTCTGAGTACAAGGCTCTGCTGGGGATGGGAGAATCCACAGCAACTCCTGTACTCTGTGCTTTAGCTTCTCTGGCTGTGCATTCCCTGTGCCAGGTGATGCTACCTGGTAAAACATGGGGCTGGGGTTCAGGTCACAGAAGAGAAGAGAGTACCAACACTAGTTCTTGAATACAGCAGCTGCAGAGTAACATAGATTTGTAAGAACCATGTTCAAGAACCTCTTTCATAGTCCAAAGGCGAGTAGATCTGTTTTTATAATGAAGGTGAGATTTTTGTTACTGACTTAAAAAGCAACTTCACACTGTGCTCCTGAGTGTGCCCAAAATATAATTAAACCT